TCTCTCTCTCTCTCTCTCTCTCTCTCTCTCTCTCTCTCTCTCTCTCTCTCTCTCTCTCTCTCTCTCTCTCTCCGCGGACACACGCACACACACAGGCACAGACGCAGAGACGCACAGACGGCGCGAGAGGGAGCTTCCGCTCACAGGACAGACCACAGGCAGACAAACACGTTTTGGAGATAAGGGATGAGAGACAAACGTTCCCAGAAGAGAGAGAGAGAGAGAGAGAGAGAGAGAGAGAGAGAGAGAGGTTAGAGTCTGATCTTTGGTGAGATTGGCGGTAATGAGGAGAGGAGACGAGTCAAAGCAACAATATTTATTCAGTCCGCAGGATGATGTGGACCCCACTATCGGTGTCGACGACCCCACTCAACTCGTTAATACCGAGAGCGTAGGTTGCTTCCTCGAACGGCTTTTGCATCTGCCCGCGGCCAAACAACCCAAGATCACCTCCCTTTCTCGCAGAGCTGCAATCCGACTCCGTCTTCGCGAGCTCAGCGAAACTCACCTTGCCAGAGGTAATCTGCTCTCGAAAACCCAGAAGCTTCTGGATGGCAGCGGCCTTGGTCGTCGCACGAATCACATCCCCATTGGGATCCTTCCACGATGCAGGGCGTCGGCTGTCCTGATGCTTGACCAGCAAATGACTTGCCCGCACTTTTCCTGAATGATCCGCCATTACCGCACTTTTTCGATTTCTGTCCCTCTCCCTGTGGCGCTCTTTGTCTCCCGCTTTTCTTCTCTCTCTCTCTCTCTCTCTCTCCCGCTCCCGCTCACTGCCTCGCTGCTCCCGCTCACTGCCTCGCTCACTCTCTCTATGACTCTTTTTCACGTACGGAGCACTGCTATTTCGTTCTCGATCGCGAGCGCGCGTCTTCTCTCTCCTGTCAGCGCGCGAATCCGCGTGTTCGTTGCCCCCGTTCCCGCCGTTTTCCATGTTCTTTCAATCAAAAAAAAGGAGCGGCGAGAGCATAAAAAAAGCCTCCGCCCCACCTGAACTTACACCTCACCTGATTGAGTATCAGCCGTCAAGATGATTGATAATGCACGGTTGACAATCAATTCAATTCAATTCAATTGGCTCTCTGGTCTTCCTCCTGGCCGCCGTGGCCGTACATCACTCATCTGAGAAAACCAGGCTCGGATCACACCGCCGTCGTCCTCTCACATGCCTCGTACAAGTTGCAAGTTTTTTCTAAACGCGTAGTTTGGATTCGAGTTTCCCTTCTGAAAAATCGATTCCCAGAAGATCGCATAGAACATGCCTATATTCCCTTCAAAAAAATCGATTCCCAGAAGATCGCATAGAACATGCCTATAGCTCAAAAAAGTCGATTCCCAGAAGATCGCATAGAACATGCCTATAGTTTGTTCAGCACAGTGAGCTCGAATCTATTGGCAGGGGAGCAACAGCACCCCACACAATCACGGGAGCTGGAGTCGTAACTCACGGACTGTCCCAATGTCTACACTTCTACTCGAATAGAACGTCAGTAATTTCTATTAGGGCTGGGCCCCACAGCCTCGTGGGGAAGCGGAAAGGAGAGCCGCGTGGGTCCCAGCCTTAGGATGACGGTGGGCCCCCACTGCGACCGCAAGGCTACGTGACCCGGTTGCTTTCGCTTACCCAAACAGGAAAAGCGTCCGTTTCTTTCCTGAACAGGAAAGGGGGGGATACATCCGGCCGTTGGGACAGAGGGCGGTTTCTATCCAACAGATGTCCGTGCTGACGTTGCGTGGAATACCCTCACAAGGGTATCCGCCCTGCTTTTTGCAAGTGACAGAAAATAAGTTTGGTCTAAAGTCTTAGTACACCGTGCGAGTCGCGGCTGTGTTCCAGTTACGCAGACTAAGTGGTTGACTAGAAAACAAAGAGTGTGTAGGCGTGCAGATTCGAGGCATGCGTGATCTCTTTCTCTTGATTAATGAATGTAAAGCCGGCATAGTTACGGCTGAATTTTTGTTTTTGATTTAAGCTAGGATTGTCTCTTGACTGGAAGGCTTGACCGTGGCATGAGCGTACGTGCGAGCGGCGATGTCGACAAAGGCGCGGCTCGGTGTAATTAGCTGGGTGAACGGAAGAGCAAAATTGGGAAGCCAAGTGTCGTGCGGTAGGCGCAGAGGTTGATGGCCGTAGGATAGGCCAAAGGGTGGCTGTGGGGCGTTTGGGTAAACCTGTGCGCCTACCGGTACCCACTTATATAGGTTACCGCTAGTGCTAAACCCAACCTTGGGCCTAGCACTATTTGTAGCGGACCCACCAGGTGTGGTGCTCCGCTAGAGACAGATGGAGATGGAGGAAGAAGGGGGAGCGAGATGGCACAACGCAGCTCCCCACGCCGGACCTGTCTCTTATACACATCTAGATGTGTATAAGAGACAGGGGCAATCGTTTGACGGCCGGCCGGAGATCTGGGAGTCTGAGAAGAAGAAGGAAACAGAGTGTGGTACGACAGACACAGAGAGAAAAAAAAACGTCACTCAGTTTCATGACTAAAGCTGATCATTCTCGTCGCCCCATCCTCCTGAAGTTTCCTTCTCATCAAACTGTAACAGAGTGTATCGATACCAAGTATGGTATAGATACAGAACTCGTTTCCCAGCTTGTTCCGATGCTTGTACCAATTATGGTATAGATACAGAACTCCTTAGTTGGTCCTAACAGGCTGAAGCTGATCATTCTCATCCTCCCATCCACCTAAATTGTCCGATGGCTCATAATTGGTATAGATACAGAACTCGTTTCCCAGCTTGTTCCGATGCTGCGGCTTGAACCGACAAGCTCTCGCCTGAATGTATCTGAACACGTGCTCTCTTTGCACAGCACCTGTCAGGACCACAAACGAACAGCTGGCAGAGGAGGAGATGGAGGAGTTGTTGGACTTGGATATAGAGGAGGTAAAGGAGGTAGAGGAGGTAGAGAAGGTAGAAGAGGTAGAGGAGGTAGAATCTCTAGCGAGTAACTTCATTGTCTGAGCAGTTTTGACGAAACACTCTTCACTCAAATAGGGAGGATCAGCAACAACAACACCAAACGAGTGATGTAGATGGGAAGGGATATCCAGAGGATGATAATAATCATACAAGGAAAACTGATTGCCAAATACTGCAAACCTTTTGTCGTACTCGAACAAGTGCAAGTGTTCCACTTTGTGATTCTTCCTTAATTCGCGAAAGAGCGACGGGCATGACACGCAGGCAATTCCAGTCTTCCCGCCGTCACTGCGCGCCATCACTTCCTCAGCGACTCTCTTGCACGTCTGCTCGTCATACCAAAACTGGGATAACCCCCAATTCTCACGAAAAAGCTCTTCTTCGTCCTCTTCCTGCTTCTGGTCCAATCCCTGCACCTGGTCCAGATCCAAGTCCACGTTCTTCGAGCCATGGCCCTTCGCTTGCTTCCCAAGGAACTCTTGAAGTGCGGCCAAAGTGCCCGAGCTCAGATCGCTCAGCAACAAGGAACTCGTATCTGGGGGAGACGCCATAGCTCGTTCTTCCTTCTTCCTGCGCAGTCCTCTCTCTCTCTCTCTCTCTCTCTCTCTCTCTCTCTCTCTCTCTCTCTCTCTCTCTCTCTCTCTTCCTACCGTCAATACTGCAGGGATCCAACTAGAGGAGAAAGATAGCGTCAAATTCAGATCGTTCAATTTGCAAAAAAAAAGCCGATGAAATAACTACCGCACGCTGGCAAGTGCTTTTTTTTTTTTTTTTTTTTTTTTTTTCAACACGCTGGCAGATCGTAATCCTCGCACGCGTTCAAAAGACACAAACACATCCGTGGGAGGCAATCGTTCCTCTGGGATCCGGACGGCGGCGGCGGCGGCGGCGGCGTGTGTGGTACCAACAGCAGTCTATGGTCTACCTAAACGCATGCACTCAAACAATGACGCAGGGCAGTCTGATCCGCTCTTGAGCCAAAAAGAGGACCCGATTCTGAGTCCCACTTCGGCCAAAAAGAGGACCCAATTCTGAGTCTCACTTGAGCCAAAAAGAAGAGCCGATAGCCGGATAAGAATCGCGCCCCGGAAAGTACCGTACGGAAAAGAAAAATGATTATTAAAGAAAAAAAAAACTTCAACAGAGAAAATCCACCAGATACTCTGGCCAACTATATGCTAGGTAGTTCTTGCTGAACCCAACCCTCTCAATCCTCTCTCTGCACAAGTCATCGGCCGGAGAGTTTTTGCTTCTCCTTTTTCAACTCTTTTCACCCTTTTTCTCACAGGATGTCGCTTCTTTTTTCCTTTTTCTCC